ACCACTGAGTATTTACAGGGACATGTGAGACAGTGAGAGAGTATCTCGATCAAAACTTTCCAGGCAGATGGATAGGGCGGTCTGGTACAATACCGTGGCCAGCCCGGTCACCAGATTTGAATCCGTTACATTTTTTTTACTGGGGAACTCTAAAAGAAAAAGTGTATTTCAAGCCGATTCAAAATGTAGCTGAGCTACGGCAAAGACTATTGGAAGCAGCTGAGTTTGTTAATAACCGTAGATTCGCTCGTTTAATAACCCGATCTTTTTTAAGAAGATGTCGAGCGTGTATTGCGGCTGAAGGAAAACAATTTTCAAAACACATACATACAATTTTTTTAAATATTTTTCTGATAGCTGTTATGACTTTGCGTATCACCCGGTTTCGGCTTGACGTCGACTTCTGGGACACCCTGTATATATATATATATTCATTAGAAGCTGAATTTTTTATGTTTTTTTCGTTTTTTTTATTTATCACAAAGCATATTTATATTTTTGTAATAGCACATAATATTTATATATTTGTAATGGCAGTTTGTGTACAAGCAAAATCTTTTTTTGGTTTGCTACAACGGCTTAACACTCTGCTTGCCGGCTTAAGTCAGAGGTGGGCTATTTTAAATGCTCATGTAAAATCGTTATCGCTAAAACCATTTTCTGAAACTAGATGGGAAAGCAGGCACTGAATTACCAACTAAGCGATGTATGTGATGCTTTAAAGGATTTAGCAGAAATCACAACAGATTGTCAGTTGCTCTGTGAATGTCAGTCTACAGAAAACGAAATAATTACCTACGAATTTGAAGTTTCACTTGTCATATGGTGTGACATTCTTACAAAGATAAATGTTATAAGTAAAATTTGGCAAGGTGAAAACATGGCTATACAACACTTGACGCATTCACACAAATAATCAAGAAAATAGTTTCAGTCATCCTTGTTGTAACAGCAAAAGAAATATCCGAGGAAATGATAATGACAGACAGAAGTCAGAAGACGATGTAAAAAAGCCATTTTGATTATGAAGGGGAGGATGAAGCTCATGAATTGAATGCGGAAGATATTTTCGAAATAAACTATTCTTATGTCATTGTCGGCAATGTACGCGCAAGCTGTCATCCTAGAGCATATTTGGTTTCATGTACAATACAAAAAATATCTTAAAAAGAAGCGAACAAAGATTAAAGCAAATTAGTGGTAGTGAACTTTTGAAGCAATGCAGGGACTTGCAAATATCTATGACAGTAGAAGAATCGTGACTTACTGATGGACATGGATTGTACGAAAAGCTGAATATGTTCATCAATGTGTATGAAGGAAACCACAACATTATCTCGGTGCTGAAATACATAATAAAAAAAAATAACTGAAGTTTATCCCACTATCGAAATAGTTTTGAGAATTATTGCCACCACACCTGTTAAATATTAAAGCAAATTAGTGATAGTGAACTTTTGAAGCAATGCAGAGACTTGCAAATATCTATGACAGAAGGAGAATCGTAACTTACTGATGGACATGAATTGTACGAAAAGCTGAATATGTTCATCAATGTGTATGAAGAAAACGCCGACATTATCTCGGTACTGAAATACATAATAGAAAAAAATAACTGAAGTTTACCCCACTATCGAAATACTCCTGAGAATTATTGCCATCACACCTGTTACAGTTGCGTCTGCTGAAAGGAATCTTTCGAGGATTAAAATTATTAAAACATATTTGAGAAATTCGATGACACAAGATCGGCTTTCAGCCCTTGCTATTCTTTCAATGGAAAATGACGTAGCTCATTCGTTAGATGATTGTGCTTTAATTAAAAATGTCTTAGGAAAAGCCGTAAACATCAATTTTAAAATTTATTATCTCTTTATTTGTTAATTTTGTAAATATTTTAATGTAAAATATTTTAAAACTCGAATTTAATTTATTTGTATGACTAGCATTTCTCGCCAAACATGACAAATATCTAAAGAAGCAACCAGACCTACTTTCGCATCACATACTTTTCACAAAGGACAAAGGGCCTATCAAAGACCTGCCGGCCGAAGCATCGCAACGGTTAAGGCCGTGGTTGCACATAAGCGCCGCTTAGAGGGCACAAAATCAGATAACGCTTCCATAAGCTTAACCTCATGATCACACTCTAACTCTTCAACTGCATCTTCTCTGGCTGTTCTTCCTAACGAAGCGGACCAACCTTGACGGACGCCCTTCCATTACCATTTCCTATTACAGCATCGTCTGCAATAAACTCACGTTTACCTATACGCCTTTATTGGCCCTTTCGTCCTTCTCACCTCCATAGATATTGTTTTCCTTGTTTGTCGCTATGACACGCTTCTACCGTATCGTACATCGCCGTCACGCCCGATCCCAATTATCCCAGTCACATTACAGACGGCTCGTCATCACGAAAAAAACAAGAATTGTGAGCCTTTGTAGAACGTAGATTGAGTCTGGAGATTTGATAAAAATTGTCTTGAGTATCTAGAATATCTGCTTACTAAACTGATGAAGATCGCTTGTCTATGCCAACTGCCTTACGCCCAAGCCGCACTATGGCTAAACCGCCGCGGATTTTATCCGCCTGATTTTGTGAGGAAAGTAAGCTAAAGGGGGCGGCCGCACTGACGGTTTTTTCCCGCGACTGATTTTAGAACCTCGACTTGTTACAGAATGGCTAGCGGGAAAAAACCGCGCCAAAATTTGTAGTTCATAGAACTTATATTTGGCGCGCACACATTTGACGCGGCACCCGCGCCCGGTGCTGTCGTCACTCTGCTGTGTTCATAAGTCCTCATGGGCATTACCTCTTATTATGTACGCTTACTGCATCATGGTAAGACTAAAAGACTAAGTCCCCATGTTTTGCCATGAGAGCGTTGGTTCTGCGGGTTCCAGGGTAGTGTGGAGTCTAGTAGTACCCCCGGTATTTGACTTCCCCCAACAGTTGTTACTGTTTTTTCAGAAGGTATAGAGGTCCTAACTTCTCTGATTTTTTCCTTCTGGTGAAAGCAACTATGTCTTAGAGAGACTTCCTTGCTCTGGAGGCCATTTTTTCCTGTTTCCAATGTCATACTTGGTTAATTAACCAGAGAAGTAATGTAGCAAGCTGTAAAAAAAGGCGTAAGAGTTCATAGAAAGGCCAGAACAAGCTATTGATGAGCGCCAGTCTCTGCCCGGAGTTCAATGCAAATCAAAGGTATTTAAATTCCGTAGATGATTCCTGAACTTGACTCTAGACAATCCAAAAGGTAACCAAATAATAAGAATAAACAAATCATTGAAAATGGGGGAAAGGGTGGGGAGTTGCTAGACACGTGTAATCTGAACGAAAATATAAGATAATTCACAGGAGGCGGATCCAGTGAGACGTTTTAAGGTGGTGAGGAGCGAATATTCTTGTGATCGTGTGACGACGGAGAAACGGGGAGGAGGGGTTACCGACTACTGAAAATTGAAGAACGGGAGGACAAGATTTTTTGTCGTATTTACCTTCCCCCGTAATCGTACATCTAGCAACAAACACAGTGTCGAAAGTGTTACGATGGGATGTCGTTGATATAAACGCTATTGTGCTCAAAGCACAGAACTTCCGCTGGTCCTCGTTTCCGTTCCGATAGTAGTTGAAAAATTGCTCATTATGTTTACTTGAATCTTGATACTTTTTATGAAAGAGACCTTTCTTAAATCTTCGGCTAGTCAGTGGGTGGACCCAATATTTCCGACATTTTTGATGGCGTTTCCTTTTTCCGCTTCTTAGTATTAGAGCAACAACACATACAGCTCTCTTGAAATTCATCTTCAAACTAAGAAAATTGTGTCCAGTTTCGCGGTTTTTAACCGTAGTGTGTGCGTCTCGGGCGGTTCTGCGGTTTGGTGGTTTACCGCTTGCGGGAAAAACCGTAGTGCTTAGCCTTAGGCACAACAATAATGCGGGTTCCATACGATACTTCCAACGTTGTTTACAAACCTAAAAAAAAGTGAGACAAACCTAACGAAAAACCTGAGATAAACCTAACGGAGAAGTGGAACAAACCTAAAGAAAAGAAGTAAGACAAACCTAATGAAAAAACTGGGATAAACCTAACGAAAAAGGTGGGACAAACCTAACGAAAAGAAGTGAGACAAACCCAACAAAAAAATTAGGACAAACCCAACGAAAAACCTGGAATAAACCTAACGGAGAAGTGGGACAAACGTAACGAAAAAAATTAAGACAAACCTAACGAAAAACCTGGGTTAAACCTAACGGAGAAGTGAAACAAAGCTAACGAAATAAAGTAGGACAAAACTAACGAAAAAAGTGGGACAAACCTAACCAAAAGAAGTGAGACAAGCCCAACGAAAAAAATTGGGACAAACCCAACGAAAAACCTGGAATAAACCTAACGGAGAAGTGAGGCAAACCTAACGAAAAAAAGTAGGACAAACCTACCGAAAAAGGTAGGACAAACTTAATGAAAAGAATTGGGACAAACCTAATCAAAAAAGTGAGACAAGCCTAACTTTTTAATGAAGTAGTTTCGTTTGGTTTTGGTTCTGTTTGGTTTGTCATCTGTCATCTGTGTTATGTCATCCGTCATCTGTCGATCTAACGACAAAAAATGGACAAGCCTAACGAAAAAAATTGGGATAAACTTTACGAAAGAAAGTGGGACACACCTAACAAAAAACGGTGGGACAAAACAAACAAAAAGGGTGGTACAAAGCAAACAAAGAAAGTGGAACAAACCTAACAAAAAAATATGGGACATTACTGACGAAAAAAAATGAAACAAACCTGTAAAAAAATGAGACATACCTAACAAAAAACCTGGAATAACGAAGAAGTCGGACGGACCTAACGAAAAAAAGGGCAAACCTAACGTTTTTTGATGTTTTAGAATAGTGACAATTTTCAGAAAAATTTTTTTTGGGGTTAAGAGCCGAGATTTGGGAGTTGAAGGGGTGGAGGAGGGTGCATCTCATTTTTTCAGCGGCATCTAGTGGCCACAGTGATGAGCCGGCTGACAATGTGTACTAGGATCAATGAACTGTCAACACTGATGGAACAGGCGTAACGCGAATTCATTGCGGCTAGAATGAGAAACGGGAAGGATAGCGCTAGTCAGGGCAAAACATTGTGGTCCATTGAGGTTTTCCATATATGTTCTAAGGATTTTTGGCGAATGTTTGTTTTTAGTGACGTTAAAGAATAGTAGTGATAGTTTGCAACAATTATTATAAACATTTTTATGCCGGACAGCCTTCAAGAGCTATTGTTTTATGTGATATTTGTTTAAAAATGGTTGAATCTTGCAGTGCGGTGAATTGTTGCAATAGACGCAGAAAAGATGTGAAAATGAAGTTTCACAGGTTGATTTTAATCATCTCATTCATTTTTGTGTGAGAATTAATTGTTAATTGGTAATTCGAGGAAATATCTGGATTTTTAGGATACCTAGAGATTCTATCATGAGGAAGTTGTGGTTACATGCTATAAGAAGAGAAAACTTTACTCCCAGTACAACAACGGTAATTTGTGAAAAGCATTTCACTCCAGAGGATTATGAAGTTAGTGTTCATGGAAATAAGGTACTAAAAAAGGTGGCAGTTCCATCTGTGTTTGATTTGCCAACCCATCTCAAGAAAGAACCTAGACATCGAAGGGTTTTGGAAAGAAAGCATGAGGAGTCCAACTCAAAAGCAACAGGTATGTTCTTTAAAATATTCCCAGTCTAAGCTTAAGATATTTACAATGTTGAAGTGGGTCGTAACGTAATTATTTTTAGAACAAACTTTGGCTATTGGTGAAGTAGTAGAAGAACCTGAAAATGGCGATCATGCTGATGATGGAAATATATTGGCAGCTGGTCGTTCAAACGTAACACAAAAACTAGGATTTTTAGAAACAAGTGAACCTTCAAACATATGCAATTTAAGGTAATTGTCATTGAACTTTGTGTTTCTCATTTGTTACAGCCTTTCTTTGTTTGTAGGGTCAGAAGATCGCCAGTATACTTTGGGGATTTCAAAATTTCTGATTTAAACAATGTGCAGCGTCGGAAGAGATTTTGGAAAAACTGCTCATGAAACTGTTCATAATTACAAAAACATTAACAAGCACAATCAGTGTAAAATTCGTAGACAATGAAATAAAATAAAAAGTCTAATAGTCTGGTAGATGAACTTCTTAAGGAGAAGAGAATATCTGCAGCTCAGTCAATAGTATTGAAGGTAAACATTTGATGAACAGATAGTTTGCTGCTACAATTGTTACCTTGTTGTTGTTTATTTTCATTTGTAAAATTTTCATTTCAATTGTTGAACTCTGTTGAATATCTATTGATTACTAGCTAGAGTGATCATTTTACTATCACAGTATTTAGGTTTTACATTTAGTGCACGAAATTTTTAGCTTAAAATTATGATGGATGTATACATTTTGTTTTTACAGGAAAGTCTCCCAAAAACTCAAGTGCTTTTCAGGCAGTTGAAAAAAGGAAAATCTAAACAAGTATAGCCCAGAATTAAGGTGTTTTGCACTAACATTGAATTTTTATTCATCATCAGCATACAACTATATTAGAAAAATATTTGGAAAAAATGTTCTACCACATCCACACACACTTTCAAAATGGTATAGTGTTGTAGGTGGTACATCTGGATATAGTGCAGAAGCACTTCTTGCTATCAAAATTAAGGTGGATGTTGATAAACAAAAGGGAAAACAGCTTGTTGGTGCCTGGATGAAATGCATATTCGTCAGCATGTACATTGGACAGGAAGTGGATTAGTAGGCTACATAAATATTGGTGTTGCAATGCAAAGCAGTGAGGAGATCCCAAAGGCTACAAAAGCTTTAGTTTTCATGATTGTTTGCATTAACAGTAGATGGAAGGTTCCAATAGCATATTTTCTAGTAGAATCTTCATCGGCTGAAGAAAAGGCTACCTTTGTGAGGGGCTGCTTACTGCAATTACAAAGCACTGGAATGTTAATTAAGAGTTTGACTTTTGATGGTGATGCATCCAATATCCTTATGGCCAATTTATTAGGTGCAAATTTCACTTTTCCATGTACTAAGCCTTTTTTCATAAACTCTCTCAATAATGAGAAAATACATATAATATTAGATGCTTGTCACATGAATTGGTGCGCAATACTTTAGGGAATGATATTAGGTGGGAATATTTCAAACAGCTTGTCAACTTGCAAAAGGATACAGGTCTACATTGCGCCACCAAGCTGAGGAGGAGACACTTGAACTACTACAAAGAAAAAATGAGAGTAAAGTTAGCAGTACAAACATTTAGTTCAAGTGTGAGTGATGCCTTAGAGCTTAGAGTATTGTGCAAAAGACTTAAATATACGTTCTTTTCAATATGCAGAAGCCCCTGCAACATATTGCAGAAATATAAATGATATATTTGATCTGTTAAATGTAAGAAACTTTTTTGGCTCCACCCAGTTCAAAAAACCTTTGTATAGAGGTAATGAGGAATTTCTAACATATTTTGTAAATAGTTCTATTAGATATTTAAGCACACTAACAACCTATGAAGGTGTTAATAGATTAGAAACCAGTAGAAAAACAGGTTTTTTGGGCTTGATAATTTGTTTAGTAAGTGTGAAAAACTTATTCGAGGATTTGGTGAAAGGTGAAGTATTAAATTTTTTATTGACCTATATATTAAGCCAGGATGATTTGGAAATGTTTTATGTAGCAATACGTAGTAGAGAAGGATTTTCAAATAATCCAACAGCTTGGCATTGTGAACAAGCGTAGAGGAGGTTATTAATTCACAGCGAAATCGCTTCGTCTGAAAGTGCAAATTGCCTTGCTATGGATCATACATCTATTTTAAATGTCTCCTCCAGAAAAATGAAAAACACTTGCTTTGATCTTTTGTACGAATTTGAGGAAGATTTTTCCACTAATTTGCAGGAGCAGTATCCTGTTAATCACAACAAAATTTTAAATTGTGTATATATTTGTGATGTAGTTCAATATATAGCAGGTTTTGTTAGCAATAAAATTGTTCAAACCTTGAATTGTAATGAATGTGCCCGATCAGTGACAACATCTGGTTCTGATTGCATGCTGCTGAATCGGAAAAATAGAGGAGGTTTAATCAAGCCTACAAAAAATGTTGTAAAAATTTGTATGGTTGCAGAAGGTATAATAAAAACTGAAACAAACGTTTCTCATCCTAATATAATGTTAAGATTGCTCTCTGCTGCAATGAGAAATTTAAATTTGAACGAGATTTTTTTATGTTTATCTAAGCACCCTCTAGAGCAAGACCCACTTGATGGACATATCGTTCAACTGATCAGACTTATCATGAAAAATTATTTCACTATTCGGCTTCACCACATAAATTCCACAAAAAATCTAATAACAGACAGAATTAGGCAAAGGTTAACAAAAACGATTCATTTTAAAAATCAGTAAATCGGAAATTTTTAAATTAGGTATAAACATATAAATTCACAGATGAACCCACTACTCATTAATAATCTTTTAAAACTTCCATTTAATTTTTTTATCGGGGACATAATTTCGAAAATGAACTATGGGATAACCTATATTGTATTATAATGAAAAACTGTGCATCTACAGTATTGTTAATGCCATTGTGTTTCCTGAATAACTTTTAAATCTTCTCTAAGAATCCTCGGTTTCCTATGCAATTCATTCAAGTCCGCGCGCTTTTTGCCCTGACTGGCTGCATCTCTCTCTCGGACCTCTTTGTCGTATGTTGGCCGCATTATCGTTTCATTGTACAAATGGGACGGGGCGATTCCGTCAGTGTTGTCAGTTCATTGACTAGGACACAGTTCAAACGGTCACCTTATCGATTTCACTCTCGCAGTGGTCGATTCCAGTAACTGATGGCACTTTTTGCTGCCTTTCTTCTTAATCACTTTTTCGTAATCTATCAGGTTGTATTCTAAATATTTACGGTTTCCTGGAGATGATATGTCACCTAGTATGCTTGGTAAATCTAATTGTTTCATTCAATTCCCAAATCAACTCCCTTCCCTGTGCCCTGCCTCTAAGTTTCCCTCTAAGCATATCGCAACACACAAACTTTCCCCATAATTCTCCCATACAATCCATGTGTTCCCTATACCTTCGAACACCGAATGCGTTTGTGTCCGAACTCAGGAGAGGGGAGGCGATTCTAAATACCGAACATAAAGTGGACTTTGTCCGCGCGATAGCGTATTTGTCGGCAGTATAGCTGATACCTTACGATCTCTCTGGAAACCCTATGACGGCTAGCGGTCCCACCAGGCGCGTTCGAACCTTGAAAAATGTCCTGGGTCTGCTGAATAGACAACGTACCAGCATTCGAAAAAGAAAATACGGCGATTATTCGGGATGAAAGGACAGGGATGATCCTTTTTGTAAGTGTATAGGTGGTGAAAACACGATGTTTATGGGATAAGTCCTTAAGGACGTGTTCTCACTTTGTCGGCACGATAGATAGAGATCCTGCTCAGGCGTCTGCACGAAAAATTTCCAAGGATACATTGGATCTGCTAGTGCTCAAAGGTTGTAGACAAATTGGATGTTTCAAAACAATTGAGGAGCTTTCGTTAAAAACCGCTTATATCCATTTTTATGAATTGTTCAGGAGAAGCAAGAAAGTTCTGACACATTCGCCTTTATATTTATGAGAAGCAAAAATGTCTATTTTGTGTATGATTATATGTATTGATCCAATCTAGCACAATATTTTTATGATTATTTTTAGAAATATCTGGGATTTGGATATAGGTGGTTTTGTTTCAAAACAGGTGAAAATTGAGTAATAAAAATTAGAAAACTGAAGAACATAGATGTATTTTATTGTAATGTGTATATGAAGTGCTTATTCCTCATCGATGCAGTCGCACTCTGCCTCTTCATCCTCGATTACGGCGCCATCGATAGTGGAAGCGAGAAGTTACTTATACAAATTCAAATGCTTTCTCGATCCCCATTCTGAACCAAAGTGTCCTTGAAAGAGATGCTTCAAACTGTTTTTTTATCAGTCAAAGAGTTCCTTGGTTGCATCGCGTTGAGCGATATGTTCTGGTCGGATTTTCATTTTTTCAACAATTTCTCCCCTTTACCATTCATTTCTCTATAATACAGATGCATTGTTATTGTAGGATTTTTATTTTCATTCAATTTTTTTGTTTTTCTAATGAATAACCTTTTCACTTCTGAAATACCATGTATACAACATCCTTTCAACGTCTTTAATATCAACTATTTTCCAGTCGGTTCCTATAACTTTTACTTTCCCAACTTCATTGTAAATTTTAATATCCTTATCTTTAGAAAGTATCACTGGATTCTTCTTAAGTAATTTCTTGAGTTCTACTAAAGCAACGATCGGCCTCCATGAAGCTGTACCCACGAACGGAGAAAGTAACGGAAATTTCACGTACATTATTAGGGGACTATTGTCTTGCTGTCACACCCTTTTTGTAGCGTCTTGTGCCTTTATTTCCCTCTTAAATGCTTAGAAGTTCTTGGTCCATGATTTTCGTTGCTTTCCGCACTAAATTCTAATACCTAACCTCAATAATTAGCCATTAATACGCGTGCGTGATCCGAATCAGCTGATCCTGGATATAAGCCGTTTTGATCACAAAATCAGATATAGGCGACTTTGATGCAAAGTCACAACTTTGGATGCAATTTAAACACACAAAATAGGGTAGGATCGCCTAAGAGTACGCGTTCCATAAGAGTACGCGATCGCCATTTTTTTATTGTTATCCCCGCCAGTCGTCTCGTCAGTAGTTAGTTGTTAGTTGTCCCAAGAGTTTGTGTAGTTTTGCTGCCAATTTTTAACAAATGCGTAACATATATGCGGAAAAAATAGTTTTCCTGAAATTACATGTAATATTTTGAACTTACTGGGTAAGTAATATTTAATTAAATCGCAAATTTTTATAAAAAATCGTAAATATGCCTTAAACAGTAATGTTTACAGTTGATCCTTAGCGACATACATACAGTTTTTCTGGTTGCCTAAATTTGTAACTGTGTTTAAATTTTTCATGTCAAGGTTCCTAAGAGTACGCAGGCAAAGAGTACGCATGCGAACTCTTAGGATTCGTGCGTACTCTTAGGGACACATGAAATGACTTCTTATTATTTGTTTTAGTTTGTTATAATGGGTAAATACAAGCGAAAGAGCGATAGATCATTAAAATTTACTCAAGAAATCATCGACCAAGCAAGGGACCGCATCGCAAAAGGGGAAAGTAAAAGATCGGTCGCAAAGTCCTTTCATGTGAACGAGTGTACATTAAGAAAAAGATTGCGAGAGGTAATAATAAACTGACGATTTTAACGTCAAAATGCAATTTTATTTTTATTTTAGGGTACTATTCCATCTAGTCTGGGTAGATTTAAGCCTGTATTTTCACAAGCACAGAAAAAGGAATTGGCTGACCATATCAAAGATCTAGATAACAGATTTTATGGACTGCGTATGAAAGATGTTAGGTACTTGGCCTTTCAGTATGCAGAATTAAATAAAATTCCGCATAGGTTTAATACAGAAAACAAGATGGCGGGGAAACACTGGGTACAAGATTTTGCAGCA